TTGCGAGGCGGCGACTGGTAAATTCATTTTAGTCAGTTAACCTATGAAACATAAATTCAAATTTTCAGGAGTAATTTGATTATCTAAGGTCAATATTTCTACAAAAAATCATTTTCTTAGAAAAATAAATTTTTAAGAAAATGAGACAAATCATATAATTAAATCAATATAGTCCATATAAAGTAATCATGTTTTCTCTAAAAATGACATTTGACACGGTTTCTTTATAGGCTTCCACTTCCACTTGACATGTGTTCTTTCTTTATTTGTTGTCATTAATTTTCATTAAAATATATAGTTTGAGAAAATAAAATAATTATTTATATCATAATATTGATTCTTCATTAGTTATTATAATTGTAGTTATCATTTAAAATAGAAAATAGTTTAAATATCATAATTAAAATTTATAAATAACTAATTAAATTAAATTTGAATATTAAAAATTATAAAATATTAAAAATATATAGTTTGAAGAAAATAAAATAATTATTTATATCAATAATATTGATTCTTCATAGTTATTATAATTGTAGTTATCATTTAAATAGAAAATAGTTTAAATATCATAATTAAAATTATAAATAAACTTAATTAAATTTAAATTTGGAAATATTAAAAAAATTATAAAATATTTATTTACAAAGAATTATTAATAAATATTAAAATGATATTGATAAAAATAAAATGTATTATTTATTTACAAATAAATTATATAAATATTAAAAAATGATATTGATAAAAATAAAATGTTAAAATTTGAATTTATTATTAAAAAATTTATTAAAATTGTGCATGCAGCACAAATATAAACTTCTCAAAAGAAAAATAGTGCAAGGATTTAACATACCCATAAATAAGTTCAATAAAAATAAAGTTTTTTTCAGATATTATTTTAATTTTTATCCTTTTTTTTTGTCCATCGTATGGTTAAAAATATCACCAATTCAATAAAAAAAATATTTTTCATTAATTTGGTATATAAATTTACTTATAGACCTAGTATAGATAAGTTGAACCCCGAGTCAAATAGTCACAATTCATTAACATAAATGGATTAGACTTACTTAGACTGAGTTTATGGTTTCACCTATGGATCAAAACAATAAAAGAAAAAATATCCATATTGTCAAAATACCCTCATTAAAAAAAAAAAAAAAAAGATAAATTAAAAGCATTCCTTCAACCAATCATAAGTAACCATAATGTAAAAATCAAAGATTTGATTAGTACTCTTATTGTTTTTATATTTGTGGAAGTTCAAATTAAATTGAGGTTAGAACCGTTAGACAGTTTGGACTAAAGGGCTCACCACCTGCCAGAGACTTCTGGCTCCGTTTTGGCCCATGTTGATGGGTTGGGTTAATTTAGTAATCAGAACCCTAACACAAAACTCATAAGTTTTATGTTAGGATCACATAAACGTGACACTGGAATTAATTTTTGTTTAATATTAATTTCATTATAAATAAATTTTCAAATATCTTATCTTGTTTTTATTATGAAACCGTGGTGTTTCTAAATTTCATTTTTTTTATGAAGTATCTCATGAAATGACGAAATAATTTTTTTATTTTTAAAAATATATAGACATGTTAGTTGTATTTTTCAAACTATAGGGACCATACTATAATTTTTTATATATAATATTTTAGTGTTTCTCCTTTCATCTTTGTGTTTTTATTATTATTATTATTAACTTAATGGAAAATATGAAAAAAATGGATATAAGGATTGATGAGAAGCAAAAAATAAGGACAAATCAGTATATTTGAAAAAAGACAAGGACATATTAATTATATTTCGCAAACCACGTGGATCGTACTATAATTTTCTCTATTGCTAAATAAAAAGTAAACAAATTTGTGCTTCTCTAAATATTTGGGTGTCCAAAAATCAAATGTGATTTTCATAGTAAAAAAATTAAAAGTTCAAACCATAGAGTTTTTAGATGTATAAATATAAAATAATGTTAAGATAAATCACTTAATCAAGTTTATTAATCTAAAAATCTAAACCATATAATTTATATTGAAATGATCTTTTTTTTTTTTCATTAATTGTTTTAAGAGCAATTTGAAATTTTTTTAATCAAAAAGACAAAATCTTACTCCCAAACCCAAGGCACAAGGAAGACGCAAAAGCACATGAGTGGCAATAGTTGGATTACTTCCATGATGATCCAATAAGCCAATACATGAATTTGCGGTTTTGTACTCGGATTGGATTATTTATATGTTATTCAACATAAATTATAAATTAATTACTTCTTATAAACCTTTTATTTATTATTTACTGATTTTAATTTTCAAGAGTTGATAGTTGTAGGCCAACAACAGAAGGTGAAAAGTCCTAGTTAAGTCAACCATCCTCACCATACTTATTGTGAAATATTTAAAATAATTGTATCGTTTACTTTAGCAAATCTTTCTAGAATCATAATTAAAAAATTCAGGTAAAGGAAAAGAAATTGTTTCATTTCAACAGGGAAATATAAAATAATATATATTATTATATTATACTAAATATATATATATATATAAGTATATATATATATATATTATTTTAATTAGCAAAATTGTAATAAATTGATTAATATATTATTTATAATTAGCCAAACTTGTAATAAATTGATTAAAATGGATCATATATTAAAAAATATAGGCTTCGTTCTATGAATGACATCAACCTTTGCGTGCAAGCAATATTTAAAAAACTATTAGTTGTTCTTTTACTCCAACATTAATGTGGATTTTAACATCCAAATAATTATAAAATAAAAAATTACAGTACGATTTTTATATTTTGAAAAATATAACTAATCCGTTCTTGTCTTTTTTAAAATATATTAATTTGTTGACTTATGTTACATTATTATATCATTCTATCTAATTTTTGCATATTTTTCGTTAAATCAATAAAAAAACACATAGGCCAAAGTAGAAATACTAAAATATTATATTAGAAAAAATTACAGTACAGTCTTTATGGTTTGAAAAATACAATTAGTCTGTCCATGTGTTTTTAAAAATAAAATATGTATTTCATCATTTTATAAGGTACTTAACGGAAAAGATGCAAAAATTGAACGTAAAAATTTTATAGTCTGACAGAAATAAACTATAAAAATATTTTAATATATTTTTTAAAAAATAGAGATGAATTAATTATATTTTACAAACTACATAGATCTTACTATAATTTTTTCATTATAAAATAGCATGAAAAGATAGCCCCATTGCCCAAAGATGAAAATGGAAAGAAATATATACAAGAGAACAATCAAAGAAAGGGGTAGGGCAGTTGTTTATTTGTTTTTTTTTTTTTAACCATTTTCGGGCAATTGCACCATTTGCCATAATTTCCAAACTCTTCCTTCACACTTGTTTCAACTCACTTTTGTAATTTATTCTTTTTATATCCACTCCATATTTACCTAACCAATAGCTATCATCTAAAAAAAATTATTATCTTATTTATTTTTAATAAAAAATTAAATTTACTCTTATTTGTGCTAATTGTATTTATTAAATTTATTGGTTATCCGCACTAGTAGCGCTTGCGTGTTATGAGTCTGACACGACGCATGCAGGATTATTTGTTTAGGCTTTATTCAGCAAGGCATTTGGAGTAGTATTTAATATTTTGATTGAATTAAAACACTTTTTTAATTAATTATTGTATTGGGTAATATCACATTTATCCTAATATTTAGAGTTTTGAGGTAGTGTTTCACAAAATATTATTCTCATTAATGTTTAGCATTTTATAAATTTTTTATGACGCCTATGCCATCACTTGTCTTTTCCTTATTTTCTATCATCATACTATTTTTTGTCTTTTTATATTAAACAGCTAATCAAACAGTTATTTTTACCGAATATTTATATTTTAATCGCTATATAAATAACTAACCACTAACAACTAACAACTAATATCTAATCGTTAACGGCTAGTAAAACAACTGATAATAATAGCTACTAGAATCGCTAAAATTGACGAACAAGCCCTTAAACCAGTGAATTATGAATAGTTGTGGTATAAAGAAAAAAAAAGGTTTTTCCTAAAAGTACATGATAATTAGATTTAGATTTCTAATTTTCCTTATCAACCAATTTCAACTATTGTTTACTCAATCACAATTCAATTATATTTTATTTTTTTACAAAAGATCAAATGTTTATTTATTGTTGAGTATTTAAATATATTAACTTAAACAATTGCATTGAATGAATTTTAAAGTTTTTTTATGAAAAAAAAAATAATACTATCATTTCAAATTATAATTTCAGCTTTGATGTTTAAGAGATTGTTAGAACTTGTTGAGATTAAATTGTATAATTAAAAAAAAGGATTTAATATTTTCAATTTCGTAAAATGCATTATATTTAATTTAAAGTATTATCAAAATTAAACTAAAATTTGTAAGATAAATTCTAGGAAAAGCATAAAGACTTCCAAATTTCATTAATAACTTATTTATTAACTCTTGGGATTGTAATATAAATAAATTATTAAAAATAAAATTTTATTGAGAAATGAAACAGAGTTAATTCTACCTTCATTTCATAGTTTATACATAAAAAGATTTGTTGTTGGGTAGTGTCCAAGAATCCGAAGGGCAAAATTGACAAGAAATCAAAATTTAGACTCACGCAGAGAAGAAGAGACTGACGTTCTGTCTGTGACAGTACAGAGAGAAAGAAAAGAAAAGAGGAGGTCACTGTCAATCAGCTGCGGTTGGTAGCTTTCCATGGAAGAATAAAATCCTTCTCCTTCTTCTATTTTCTTCTGTATCTCAAATTCCAATAAACAAAATCCCAAAACTAGAATGGAAAAAACTAAATTATAAATTAAGTATAATGCTTCATTTTGTCATAACAGCCACCCGCCTAACGCCTCCATTTTCCTCTCTCCTTCTCTTTTGACGTGCAGAGCGGGAGAGAAAGTAAATTGTTTATATTTGTAGAGACAAGAAGAGTAGGCTATTGGAAGAGATAATGGCAGTGGGTGGTGGACCTGGTGGTGCTAAGGTGGATGATTTTGCACCCTTCCCCATTAAGGACCAGCTCCCTGGCGTCGATTTCTGTGTCTCCAGCGCTCCTTCTTGGCGTACTCTTTTTCTGTCCCTAAACTCTTTCAAATATGCATGGTTTTCTCCGATGAACTTTGTTTCACTTTTTATATACTCTGTTTTCTGGTTGTTAGGTGATTTTTCTCGTTCAAATTTTCCGGTCACTATTGACGAATTTCCCGCGCTTTTTAGTTTTATTTTTTTATGATTTTTTCTTTATCTTTTTGGCTTCAGTTTATAATTTTCTACTTTTTTTTTAAGTATATATAACTTCTTTTTTCATTTTATATTTCCAAAAAAAAAAAAAAAAAAAAAAAAAAGATTCTCCGTCGAAAGCCTTTCTCAAAAAAAAAAAAAAAAAAAAAAGATTCCTCGAAACTTTCTAATGTCAATTCTTTATTTTTTTCTAAAATAATCGAAAATTTTGATATATGATGATCAATGAAATACCGATGCCATTGCTGGTGTCTCGTATTTTGTTTTTGATGAAATAGGTTCTGTTTGGTTACCGAGAAAAGTGAGGGAAAAAAAAGACTGAAAAATGAGTGAAAATGTTTACTTATACAATATTGATGTTTTTGGTTTTCTTAAAATTTAAATATGAAATCGCCTGAAGTGGACTTTGTGTACTGTATATTTGTGCCCTGTTTTCTTAAATAAGAAAAAAAAAAAAAATATAGTCCTCCTAGCAGGAAAAGCAAAGAAAAAGGGTCCAGTAGATATCTTGGTACTGAGCAAATTAATTACAATTCTATGTTTCAGAGGCGTTTTCCCTCCTTTTCTCTTGATTTCCTGCATTTTCTTTTTAACCAAACAGACGTTTACTTGCTAGGAATTATAGATTTGCCTTTTCTTTCTCCAAAATTATTCGAATACTAGAGTTTACATTTTCCTTTTTTAGCAATCGCATATTTAATTTTAGCCCACTGGCTAGTTTTGTGCATATTGCTCACAAGTTTGAAGTTATTCATTTCCTAAACCAGAAGTAAAACTGTAGAAGTAACTTTTTTAAAGTTAGAATAATCGATTTGATTATGAGAGTGGCCATTTTCTTATGGATAAAAGAATTACAAATTTGACTTCATATTTGTACGTTTTTGGAAAATTCAAGAATATAATTGTTCGAGTAATTGGTTGGATATTAATGATGAATTGTAATGGTCAATAAATTCTAGCACAAATTAATTTTGATAAAACTTTCCCCAATGATTGCAGCGGAAGCTATACTTTTGGGATTTCAGCATTATCTGGTGATGCTTGGAACTATTGTGATAATTTCATCAGTACTAGTTCCTCTGATGGGTGGTGGCAATGTAATAACCGGTGCAATACTTCTATATAGCAAGTTCTAAAATTTGAAAGTCATGATTGTATTATTTTCTTTAAACTAATTATTCCTGTTTTGTTTCGGTGTTAGGTGGAAAAGGCTGAGGTTATCAACACTTTGCTCTTTGTTGCCGGAATCAGCACAATGTTACAAACTTGGTTTGGTTCGAGGCTTCCTGTGGTGATTGGAGGATCCTACGCTTTCATTATCCCTGCTATCTCCATTGCCTTGTCAAAAAACAATTATAGTAATTTTGCATTTCTCAGTCCCCATGAGGTTAGTTCACTAAGTTTGTCAAATGCTATGCCTATGCTCTAATTTTGGTGGTTTTGTTGGGTCTTGAAGAATATGTAAGAAAATGCTAACAATTAATTGGTACATTGAAAAAGCATATGTTGAAAGTAAATATTTAGTTGGAATTGGTTAATCTATGGTTTAATGTATTTTTGAGCTAGTGATCTTGATATTATCATTATTGATGATTTTCAGAGGTTTGAAGAATCCATGAGGGCTATACAAGGAGCACTTATCATTGCATCATTCTTTCAAATGGTTATTGGTTTCTTTGGTTTCTGGAGAATTTTTGCAAGGTTACATGTGGCATAGTATCATGATTGTTTTAAGATATCCTGATTTGTTATTTACTTGTTTTAAGGAGCCTTTTTGGGATGGTGATGCAGATTTCTTAGCCCTCTTGCTGCTGTTCCTCTTGTGACTCTCACTGGACTAGGGCTTTATGGACATGGCTTCCCACAAGTAAGAGTGCCTAAAAATTCTGGCGCAAAAATAGTTAATTGTCTGTGTAAAATCCAAAATTCAAATTCAAACATCTATACTATGGATAATGCATCAGGGTTTTCACGTTGAAAATGCTGGTACTATTTGGTGAGAGAATCAAAACTTGTCATATTTGTTTGAATTGTCATTAAGTAATGAATGAACTTTAAAACAGACAGTATTTACATCCTTCCAAATAATTCTTATATTTTAGATCTTTCAAGACAGTCTGAAAACACTTTTTCTCATTGATGATAAAGCAAAACTTGAACATATTTGTTTGATTTGTTACTGAGAAGTGCAAAAATCAGAGGGGATTAAATGAATGCTTGCCCTTTTGATTTTAGTTCATTTTGGTACTTCTTTTTAGTCAACAACTTTTTTCAGGCCTTTGGATATTGGGATATAACCTGAGCTTATTCAAATTTATTCCTTGGTTCTTTGGAAATCTCACTTTGTATCTAATTTTACTTTTCTTCATATAATTGCAAATGGAAGACAATATAAGGTTTTGTCAATGTTGAATTAGTTTTCCTTGAAAAGACCTTTTAGCTTATGGAGATGGCTCATTGTGATTTTTTATTACCTGGTTGACCTTATCTGTTAAACCATTTGTGATACTAATGGAATAGTTCTGTTTTTTCTCCATCTGGATGTTACTTTTGTTTAATATAACCTTTCTGTTGATGCAGCTGGCAAGATGCATTGAAATCGGGCTTCCAGCATTGATTGTGGTGATCGTCTTATCTCAGGTGAGCAACATCCTCAATAATTCTTGTTCCATGGAACTTCGACAATAAGATTTCAATGTCAATTTACATGTTACATTCTGAAATGAGATTCTGTGGTGCTGTTTGTGATGCATATTTTATGTTATTACTGCTTAGTGGATGGGATATGAACAAGAATGTGTGTCACTAGCTCTATTTGCATACCTACTCTGGTTCCATTAGCATGATAAATCCCAAGGGAGGAACTATGATATGGCCCCTAGATTGGTCCTTTGTAAGGAAATGAAGTGGACTTATTGAACATCCTTATCTTGTGCCTTCTGCTCTTACTTCATTCTAATTTAGCAGGTGTAACTGATAATCGCTTGTCTAATCAAATTTTAGAAGGTTAAGATTATAAATTGCATATAAATGAGATAATACTTCTGTTTATTTTTTTATCTTTGATTTCGGGAAATAGTTTTACCCGCTTTTCTCATGGTTTTATCTTGACTTTGTAAGTTGCAATTAATGCTATTGCAGTATCTTCCTCATATGATGAAATCAAGAGGAGCCATATTAAACAGATATGCAGTCCTATTCTCAGTAGCAGTTGTATGGGTTTATGCGGAAATTTTGACTGTCGCCGGTGCATATGAAAATAAACCTCCAAACACACAGATTAGTTGCCGAACTGATCGTTCAGGGCTTGTTAGTGGTGCTCCTTGGTGAGCTGACATTTAACAACGAAGCTTTGATTTATTTGACTGCTTCACTTTACTTAGTTCAATTGTGGAGTTCTACACTGCTCCCTCAATTTTGCATATGCTGTGGTCGTTCATCTAGTGGGTAGTTCATCTGCTCTGACTCTAAAGTATAACAGAACATGGACTCCTGAGATGGTTTATTATGTACTGGTGGATATAATATGCCTGTAATGTTTACCACAAGATAACAAACTAGCAAAGTTACCAGTAAGAGCTTGATAAAAGCAGGTTGAAATGGCAGACAATTATTTTTCAGTACATTTATCCAATTTCATTTTTGCTAGGATTTAAAGAATTAAATTTTGATACATAGTTGCTGAATGTGTTGGCGCCATGAACCTGACAACTTCAACAGTCCATAAATGTCTTTTCATTTATCCCACATTTTAACTTTCTAATTATCATAAAATGGATGAAATATTCTCTTGTTTATTCCCATTTATTGAGAATTTCAATTTACATGCCTATGACATTTTTGAGGTTCATATTACTTGTAGTTTAGAATGTGCAAAGTAGTATCCATCTGAAGAGGAACTCTCTCTATCTGTATACTTTTGCCATTCATTTTCTGGTTTACATTTCTTCTTGGCTTACTCTATAGCACCTAAGCAGAATTATGAAATCAGTAGCACTAATTTTATTATACTTTACTCCATGCAGGATAAAATTTCCATATCCATTTCGCTGGGGACGTCCTACTTTTGATGGTGGTGATGTTTTTGCGATGATGGCTGCTTGTTTTGTTGCTGTTGTTGAGGTAATATTTTTTTTCTTTGTTGGAATATTTTTTTTATTGATGCTGAATATAATGATTCACCTAATTCAAATTTTGCGGAAAGCAAGGATGCAGCCACATCTAAAATATGCTCATGGATTTCCATCTTCTTAACATTTAGATATAACAGAATTAGCTAGGTGCACTAGAGAAGATTAAACCTTTTTTTCTTGGTGATTTTTTGTGGATACAATCTCAATGCCTTTATGAAAATAAAGTTGGTTTACCTGCATGAATGCCTTGAATTAGAGGGTCCTCTGTTCACGTTCTTCCTTTATGACTGATTGCATCCTCCCGATTGATACTTTAATATTTGCTAGTGAATATCTACTCCCTTCTCATTATTGATATCCTAAGGTCTCATTACATTTTGGTCGCAGTCTACCGGAACAATTATTGCAGCATCAAGATATGGGAGTGCCACTCCTATACCACCTTCTGTACTCAGCCGTGGTATTGGTTGGCTGGTAACAAATGATCCTATGATCTCTTTCTCTCTCTCTCTCTCTCTCTCCTTCTGTACTCAGCCGTGGTTTGGTTGGCTGGTACAAAATCGATCTATGATCTCTTTCTCTCTACCCTCTCTCTCTCTCTCTCTCTCTCTCCTCTCTCTATTTAAATTTATTATTTATTTAAATAAAATTGATTATAAGAATAATATGATATATATTAATATATATACGCACCTATCACCTTCTACATCCATAATTTCTGGTTTTATATATACGCACGCTATCACCTTCTACATCCCATAATTTCTGGTTCTGATCTCTCTATCACTTCTTTTAACTTTTATGAATATCCAGGGAATCGGAACTTTGCTTGCTGGACTTTATGGTACAGGAATTGGTTTGACTGCTTCAGTGTAATGACTTTGAATTTTTTATGTCAGTTATTTGCCTTTTGTTTTAGGAATTTTTTTTTCCAAACGAGTACATATGCTACTCTGTTCTTCATTTGACCATGCTTCAGCATTAATTATCAACTTGCACAATCTTGAATGAGCTTCATATGTTTTCTTTACTGAATTTTCCTAACTTGTAAATTTTTGTGGACATTTCTGTTGACTAAAATTGAACTTCACAACCATCCCGCCGAAAGATGATTAAGAATGAAAAATTTATATTGCTTTCTCCGATCTTAATTGAATCACAAATAATTCTGAAGCTCATTGAAGGTTCTGCTGTTGTCAATTCACGTAGGCAGATATAAAGCTTTTGCATGATTGCATGGTTCATTGAATTTCTGGATATCCTATTCCTAGTTTTCTCTTCTGCTAATGCTTTGATCTAATAATTATCTGTTATTTACTTCTAGTGAAAATGCGGGTCTTTTGGGATTAACACGAGTTGGAAGTCGGAGAGTCATTGAAATATCAGCAGGATTTATGTTCTTCTTTTCTGTATTAGGTGCGGTATACCATAATGATCTATTCTACATCCCATTTTGTCCTGTCTTATTTGATTGTTAAAGTTTTAGTTGTATTCAATTTTTTCCTTTCTCTTGTTTCTTCTTAAGTAATTTTGCAACCAAGACTATAGCACAATGCCTTTAATTTTATCCTATCAATGGTAGCTGTAATTGTTTTATGATCATTTCTAACAGGAAAATTCGGGGCTATTCTTGCTTCCATACCCTTACCAATTGTGGCAGCTTTGTACTGTGTTCTCTTTGCCTACGTGGGTATGCATTCGTTCCCTATATCTTAGTCAATGATATGGCTGATATATATTTGAGAAAATGAAGTGGAGAACTGATTTTTGCTGAAGATTTTGACACTTCATTCTATGATAGAAATGAGTTCTGGTGTAAATTTGAGGAGTTTTAGCTGAGAACTTTAAAATTTTGTTTTGCCTCTTTCTCATAAGATGTTGGTGAATTCGCAGATTCTTAAAGGGGTATAAAACTGAATAAATTCTGAACTTTAGGCAAAATTTCATTTTATTCACTTAATCTATCAATTTTATTCTAGACTTCATAATCGGTAACAATTGTACCTGAAGGTAGGAATTGTGTCTGAGTGGACGCTAAATTGGCATACTAACATAGCTGTGTGAGTTCAGTTTGAATAGAACTGAACTTTCTGGAGCCTACTCAAAGTTGCTCTCAAAAAGGTTGTTTTGCATGCTAAGGGCGAACAGAAGGCCAAAGGGTTTAGAGAGTTTTAGAATTTCAATTTAGTGCCAACTTTGTTTAGATACATGCCTTATGAGATTATTCCTATCCTTGGACACAATTTGTATCACTAAAAGATTATGGAATAATATTTAATAAAACTAATTGTTCAAAGTTCAAGATTTATAAGACCAATATTCCATTCTTAAATAACTAAATGAATTCATATAGAATAAAAGTAAAATTATGTTTTCTTGTCTACATACAAGTGAAGAGTGCAAACAAAGAAACCTGAAGCATAGAGTTTTAATCTTTTGGATTCAGTCACCTTGTAGATCAGCATGATTGTAACTCTTTGAAAATCAATTGTCATTTTCTTTTGATGCATATTTTACAAAATCTCTCTTTTTGTACCATTTCCTGATGACCTGAAATTGGAACATGCAAGACTACTGAAATCAATGTTCTTGACAAAAGTCAATGTTTTTTTATGCCCTATGGTATGTTGTTAAATAGAAATTTGAGTTATTCTCGTTCCTGGTAACGCCAAAAACCTGCTTCTCTACTGTTTAACCTGCTTCTCTACTGTTTAATTGTTGTTGGCAGATACTATATAAATTGATTTTGATTGTGATATACTTGTGTGGGGTGAGCAGCTTCAGCTGGTATTGGATTGCTCCAATTCTGCAACCTAAATAGCTTCAGGACAAAGTTTATTCTTGGCTTTGCCCTCTTCATGGGCCTCTCTGTCCCACAATACTTCAATGAATATCTCTTAATTTCTGGACATGGCCCTTTCCACACTCATGCTATCTGGGTATGTATTGTTTTGTGATATAATACCTAGGCTTGTTATTCTGTGAAATTTTATTTGAATTTTCTTATTTTCATGTTTGGTAAGGGTAAATATATTTATTTCACTCTTGTATATCTAATTTAATTTCATGAAATTCAACTTAATTAAATAAAAATTCTGTCATTTATAAATGAATTCTACACTTCAAATTTATTTATATCAAATAAAGGTTACATACGAGTAAAATGATTTCCTGTTTATCCTCTCAAGAAGTTCTAATTTTCTCTTTGCTTACAGTTCAACAACATAATGCAAGTGATTTTCTCATCTTCGGCAACAGTGGCGATTATAGTTGCATTCTTCTTAGACTGCACTCTCAGTTTGAGTCACAGCTCAACCTGGCGAGACAGTGGTAGACACTGGTGGGTGAAGTTCTGGAAATACGATCAAGACACGAGGACCGAAGATTTCTATTCACTGCCTTGGAACCTTAACAGGTTCTTCCCTTCTTTTTAACTCTGAACAACTCTCTTGCCACATAAGACAGTAGTAATGTTGTCACCTTCTTTTTAACTCTGAACAACTCTCTTGCCACATAAGACAGTAGTAATGTTGTCAATTTAATTATTACATTTCATTTGGGCAAAATGTCTATCAAACTAATGCGAAATACGGGAAAGGGAACTTGTATAGGGTTTCTTAAGCCACAGATACTGAATACTGGCTATGCTTGTGATTAAATGTTATAGATTTCAAATATATATACACAAGGATCTGAAAAATATCAGTATTAAGGGAATTTCTGCTCGCTGCAACAAGAAATATTATTTAGGTTGGCATGAACTCGGACAGGACACGACACGTATTGGTCCCCTGAGTTACTCCCTCCCTCCTATCATCATTAATTATTCAACGATAATAATAACAAGATAATTCTCCACACGATAAAAAAAAAAGTTATACGTTGGGTTTTTTTGGACATATATTATAATAAAGGGGCTACCAAGTGTGTTAGCTGCCCGTCGGCTTGGGCCACTGGTCAGATGTTAACATTGACTCCTGAGCACTTATGAGAGATGCTGCCCCCTTCATATAAAAATGCTTCATGCAATATCCCAGTTAACTTAATTAATTCGTTTTTCTTATATAAAAATAAATGGAAATTAGTTTGCATGCAGTATATAAATTTATTTCCGAACTTTGTAATTTTAATCCTATGGAATTCTGAATTTTATAAATGATTTATTATGCATTTAAATTTGTAAATTTTGATAATATTATAGAGCTTCCAACACTAATGATAATAGTTAGAATTTTTATTTTTATATTAAAACTGTGGCGGTATTCAATTAAATTTCTTACCACAATTTCATAAGGTTTGCTTGAAACAATAAAAGAAAAATTATTTTTAAAATTTTATTTTTTTAGTTTGTATTTAACATGTGTTTTCATGTTCTGGGAGCAATATTGAAATTCTCTAGTGTTGAGATTACTATAATCATCAAAATCTCAATTATTGTTTCGATTTATTTTGAAGATATCATTCAAATTTTTAATTTTAAATTATGTAATTTTTAATTTTAAATTATGTAAAAAAAATGCGTTTCACATTTAAATCTGCTGTTCCTGAAAAAGACGAAACAATGTAATGGGCCAATCTAAGATATCTGGCGGCCCAGTCTAATGAGCTCAATTAGCCCATTTCTCTCCCTAATAAAACCAAGTAAATTGGAATCATGAAAACAGATCACTGAGACTAGAAGGCCGTTTATAGGTTTTTTTAATCTCAAGTCGAATTTGTTTCTTCATCTCCTCCGTCTCATCTTCTGCCTTCATCTCCTTCGACTTCACGGGTGGTGGTACATGTGGTAATGGTTTAGCCTTGTCGAGTGGTTCCGAAGCTTTCGGCTTGGGTGGTCCCTCTTTCAGGTCCTCCTTCTTGGGTGGTGGTGGTGGTGATGGTGGTGGTGGTGGTGGTGGTGGTGGTGGTTTAGGCGTGAAATAAAAAAGGAAAGCTATTATAGTGCCAACTGTTGGTGGAGATGACAAAATAACCACCATTATGATTTTGAACTGAAATCAAAGACAAATGAGAACCAATCATTAGACAAATGAGAACCAATCATTAGTGTCTGAAAAAAATAAAATTATACAGCTCAATTCTAACTATAGTTTTAATAAATATATCACAATATATTGAAAAATAAGGAGCTAAATTGACAAAAAAAAAAAAGAAAAAAAAAATTAAGTCTAATATTTTTTATCATTTTAAATAAATTTAGGCGTAAAATTGATATTTATTTCTATATATAAAGGGTAAAAATAGGGAAAAGTTTATTAATTATGCCTTAATATTCAAAAAAAAATTAATATTTATAGACAAAAAAAATTACTATAAAACAATTTATATTTTTAGAGGATAGAGGAAGTAGATTTTAGTAAAAAAAATTGTCCAATTCACTAATAAATAAAATATTTTTCTCTCTATTTCTTTTTATGAGGAAACAAAAATTGAATCTTTATTTTCACTCTTATTGGAAACCATAATGAATTATGCTAATAAATTAAAAAATCGTGTAATAAGTGAAAGTCATCATGATTTTTTTATTGGTCCAATAAAAAAAAAAGAAAATGCAATATTATAACAAATAGAAATTTACCCAATTAGAGCTGGTTTGAGGAAGGCCATCAGTAGAAAATAAATCATAGTTACTGAAATACTGAGGCACAGAGAGACCCATAAAGACGGAAAAACCCAAAATAGACTTTGACCTAAAGCTTTTCAAGTCGCATAAGATAAAATCATCAAGACCTCCTGCCACTGTTATCTCCATAATATGTACAGTACAAATCAAAAGTCAATTGAAATGTAATATACAAAAACAATACTTTGCTATTACAATAATAATAATCATCGAAAACATATTGGCAAAAGTGAAAGAAAAGGATACGTACCCACATAGGGGAAGAAAGCAATGTATAGAGCCCCCACAATTGGCAACGGTATAGAAGCAAGAACAACCGCAAGTTTTCCTGTTAGATATGTAATATTTACTAATAGTTATTACATTTTTTTTTCTTTGACAAAAAAAAAAAAAAAAAAATGCAGATATTAGACCTTCAAAACCTTAATATAAGTGTGGAAGAATTTCAGGTTCTGTTAATAAAAAAATTGAAAATAATAAAATGGATTTAAATTTTCCAATTATTTTATTTTAGTAAAAATTTTGATAATTTAATAATAAAAAATTGTTTATTAAACTGGATATGCATATATTAAAAAATTGTATTAAACTGAATTATGCATATATATTTATATTATTTTATTATATAAAAATAATTTTTAAAATATTATAAGAATGCACAGTGCACCTATCAAGGAAATGAGAATCATAAAGATAGCTGAAATTATGGCAATCCTCCGAGTTCCTATCTGTGTCGATCCTACGAGTCCTGCATGTTGACTATAGCCACAACCAACCATGCATAATTAATAATTATCTCACAACATTAGTATAAGAAATAGATAAAATTAATTTATTTGCTGATAAAAAAACAGTCATATAAGAAAAATTGCAAGGATTCTGATGGAACATTGTTGAATTCGAACTAAGCTCATTAAAAGTATACTCAAGTTCAAGCATTCGAGTGGAGTCGAACTTGATTTAAACCTTAAAAATTGAGTGCAACTTGTTAACAGTATATAATAACATTATTTTTAAAATGGATATGATTATAATAACATTCCATTGCGAATCACTAAAAATATCCTTAACTTAAAATTACACTAACGAACTTGGTGTTATGGGAAATGCATTTCAAATTCATATAAACTCAAATTCAAATCTATTGTAGTTTCAAAGTATAGAAATTACACTGAAGCAGTGGAGCCAAGTCCCAAGCCAAACACTGCGTCCAGCAAAGTTCCAATTCCCTGCATATGTACATCCTTTATAAGTTAAAACAAGTGAAAAAACATATTATGGAATGTGAAAAAACATAAAGCTCTGTTTGGGGTAAATAATATAAAATACAGTCCAGCAAAGTTCCAATTCCCTGCATATGTACATCCTTTATAAGTTAAAACAAGTGAAAAAACATATTATGGAATGTGAAAAAACATAAAGCTCTGTTTGGGGTAAATAATATAAAATACATTTGAATTAAGCTTCATAACTTATATTTGAAATAAATTTAGAGTTGGAATCCAATATGTTGTAATTGTATAGAATGTCCAAAGAGAAAAATAGACAGAGAGAAGAGAAAGATGATGAGAGAGATAGAGAGAAGAAAAGGAAGATATTGGAAAAAAAATACAAAAAAAAAAAGAGGAAAGAGAGAGAGAGAAAAAAAAGAAGAATTTATGAAAGTAACTAATGAGTGACTTAAGTGGTAAGACACTTAAATTTAACAGATGATCTTTATAAGATCAAAGGTTTAATTCATTCATAGAAAAACACGCATAAGAAGGATAACCACGATTCTTGAGATGAGATTAGTTTTATAATATTGGGGTATTTGTGGTAAAACTAAAAAAAGTGGAAGATAGAGAAAAATAAAAAGGAAGAAGAGGAAAAAGAAAAAGAGGAAGCTATACAAGGTTAGGGTGTAGTTCTTGTTTCTATTATTTTTTTTCCTCGACAATAATATTAATAAAATAATTAAATTTGCTGATAAAAAAAAATTCATGAGTGGCACAAGTGGTAAGACAATTGAATTCAAGTATTTAATTTGTCAAAAAAACCCGTATAAGAAGAGACAGCCACAAAGTCTAAAATTGAGATTAATTTCACACCTAAAAGGTGCTACAATACTCATAATTAAACCAAACAAGAGAAAGCAGTAAAAGGCAAGAGAGTAAAAAATAATTGAATTCGTGAAATTCTAAATTTTTCATAGAAATTTTGTTGTGTTTAACTCCAAAAAATTAAATTGAATATTTTTCGATATATAAGCATTTATTTTTGCAAATAAATATGTGAAACATTGAAAATTGAGAGAATTTAATAAAATTTAATTGAATTTGTTTATAACTTAACTGTAAGTAAATAATGAAAATTGATAGGGTCTTTAAATGTTAATTACCTGCACGCCGATTGCTTCACTAATACGAGGTGCTGGTATACGATGTGCGCCGCTAAATCTTGATGAGGTAGCAAACGTACTAGAAGACTGAAATCATAAACAAATTTTAAATCCTGCATATGATCTTCGCCCAATATTTTCTTTAATTGACCAATCAAAATATATTTGCTTAACTTTATCGTACCTTGTTTAAACACAGACATCGTTTGAATGATAGAATATATATATATTCCATATGTTTATATGATTTCTTCGTTAATTGAGAAAAAATAGATTAAAATCCATGAATTGATAGATTTTATGATGGATTCAATTCCATCATTTAGAGAAGAGAGAAATCCTATCTAAGAGGTGAAGTTTTTTCAATTCTATTATTTTTTTATTAATAATATAATTTAACTCATTTAATTATATTTCAAAAGCATCTTTCAAATCTATGAAATCATTGTGGATTTAGATATATTTTTGCCTGGATCAATACATAATTTTTGAAAAAAAAAGAAGGGTAAAAACATAAAATTTTAGGGATTAATGTGTTAGTCCCAAACTAGTTGAGGTCGATTATAATATTTTTTTGAAAAGAAAAAAAAAAAAGAACGCGCTCGGGTAAAAACATAAAATTTTAGGCGCATTAATGTGTTAGTTCCCAAAACTTAGTTTGAGGTCGATTATTATGAATCCTTTATTTCAAAATATCTTGCTCTGGACTAAGTTAAATATCCAATGCAAAGTATCCTTTATTTCAAATATCTGCTCTGACTAAGTTAATATCCATGCAAAGTTGACTATATGAATCCTTTATTTCAAATATCTGCTCTGACTAAGTTAATATCCATGCAAAGTTGACTATATGAATCCTTTATTTCAAATATCTGCTCTGACTAGGTTAATATCTGTGCAAAACAAAGTATAAGTCGAAAGAAAAAAAAAAAAACTTTCTGTAATTAAAAAATTTGAAAGAGGAGTTTTCAAATCATTTGATATATTAATAAACAAACAAGCTTAAGATAGACAACAACTAATAACTAAGGCCTGTTACATAAATCTTTTGCTTCTATTCTTTTTTGTTCATTGCTATATCTTCATTAATATTCAAAAAATATGAAATTCTTAGCGACAACTTCCCTCCAAGTAGTTTTAGGTCAGCCTCTTCCCTTTTTATCATCCTTCAGTATTATCGAGGTCTACATAATACATGACCATACCATCTCAGACACTCGCTCATTTTTTCTCCAAATTTTGCTACTTGCATCTTTTGTCTAATGTGACTATTTATAATCTTATCGAACCTTGTGTGACTGCATATCCATTTCAATATTCGCATCTCTGCAATATTCATGTTGTGAACATAATGCCTATTAGGTGCCTAGTATTCACTCACCATATCACATTGCTGGTCTCACTACTATTCTATAGAATTTACTTTTTACCTTGTTAGATATTTTCCTAATCACATAGTATGCTTGTAGCTAATGTATGCATTTTATGTTTAATCCAATTTTAGGGATTTTTAACGATTTAAAGATAGTTTTTGCATGCATTGTACATATTTTGCATTTGGTTTGTCTTATAGTGCAGGTCCATTCTTTTGAGGGAGAAACACCTAAAAGCAAATGACATTTTAGTCATTTCGGACCAATCCACAAAAGGAAGGTCTAGCAGCGATATCCACGATCGACACACTGGCCGTGCTTTATCCATCTGAGAGTTGATGCATTCTGGTAAAATCCACGGTCGATCAACCTGCCGTGTATTCTCTACCAACAAGTCAGAAGACTCAATGCAAAATACACGCCCAACCATACAGCCGTAGAAAATTAGATACGGGAGGGGCATCGATCGTATGTTTCACCCCTTTCTACTTGTCCGCTCATATGATGGGTCGTGTATTTACCAAGCATAGAGCCTGCATATAAAGCACGGCTGGGGCACTAACCGTACATTTCCTCCATATGGCAACTAAAAGCAGAGAATCAGTCAAGGATCTTTTTGAAATGCCTTTGCAACCTTTGACTGCGCTATAAGAGGAAGGAGAGGAGATATATAGATCATAAAGAAGGCTAGGGAACATCTTAGATTAAGAGAAACACGTAATTGGATTCGGTTAAAGGATATACTCCATAGTTAGAATAGAAACAATATTTCGATCTTAGTTTTCTATTGTGGACAAGGATGGTTCTAGAGTCACTATTTCTTCTTAATCTTGTGATTTATAATTTGAGAATGATTTATGAGTAGTCCCCTTAGCTAGTGTTGGGTGAAAACCCATTTGGGCAGCAACTATGTAATCATCTCTCCTTATTTTAATCTTGATGGATGTTTTTCATGACTCGTCTGTGTGTGAGCTTAAAGCTTATGAATATGATAGAGTTCCATATATTTGTATGAAAAGAAATGAGAGGATGAAGAATTAGAAGGTGAAGTCCCTTATTGGATTGACTCACACATGAACCTAGGAGATAGACGTAGGAATAAGCTATTTCTTTGAGGAACTAGGGAAGGTTATAGAGATTAATGGGCTGGAATCATCATTATAAGCTATTTCTTTGAGGAACTAGGGAATTGACTCACACATGAACCTAGGAGATAGACGTAGGAATAAGCTATTTCTTTGAGGAACTAGGGAAGGTTATAGAGATTAATGGGCTGGAATCATCATTACACCATGAAAGTTAGATGTTCTTATGATTCCGGAACGTTTGTGTTACTTGGAAGAAAGCATAAATATAAATGGATTTCTCCCCCTTCAAGATGTATCCCTTAATAGATTGAAAATGGAAGTTTGAGATTATAATGTTGTTCAATAATGCTGATCCCAACACTAGTGTCTTTCCCTATTTGATAAAACTAAAGCTAGCTTGCTTTTATTCTAATTAGTAGTTCTTGCTTGTTTTACATTTAATTAGCTTAGATTCTAAATATTCTTCATCTAATTTCTAAACAATACATCTTGGATCCAAAACTAATATTTAGTGCTCCCTATCCCTAAGGATGATATCTTTTATATACTACTTGCATGATCCATATTCTTGCAGAATCGCTAACAATAGCACTCCTCCATTTCATCAATTCTACCTGAATTATATAAGAAACATCTTCATCTATGAGACCTTCTTTGGATCACAGAGCCTAGATATTTGACTTTATTACACTTAGGCACTAGCATACCATCTAATCTAAACTCACTTTCCTGCCTTTTCCTTAAACCAAACTCTTGTATATTACAATTTAGCTCATCCATTACTAGGGTAAATAAGTACGGGCTTAAAACAATAATGTAGCCCAACTGTTATGGAAAACTTCTCTACATACCCTGTAGTTGTTCTTATACTATGATTGTATTTCATATATATCTGTAATGACATTTATAAACTTGGTATATATTCCTTTCTTCTCTAATATCTACCAAAGTACTTCACTCGATACTTTGTCACAAGCTTTTTCTAGGTCAATGAACACCGTGTGTAGATCTTTGTTCTTTTTTCATATTTCTATCACTCTTCTTAGAAACAAAATTACCTTTGTTGTAAATCTACCAGACATAAATCCAAACCAGTTCTCTGATACCTTAGTATTGTTCCTTAATCTATGTTCTTATTACTCTTTCCCCAAGCTTCATTGTGTGACTCATAAATTTAATACCACGATAATTTATATAACTTTGGATATCTCTGTTGTTTTTATACATCGCATCGTTATCAAAGTAATCTTTCTTCACTTATTTTGACATTTTTCTACCTCTAAGAATAATATTGAATAACATTGTTAACCAAGCTATTCCACTTCCTCAAGACTCTTCCAAACCTTTAAAGGAGTACTATCTGAACCACATGCTTTTCCAACCGTTATCTGCTTCAAAGCCTCATTATTCTATGAGTGTAATTAAGATTTCTGTCCGTCAAAGAGACTTAAAAATCTGTATTAGTCCATATTCAACTCTCATCAATATAGAAATCTCCATTTTATATTTAAAAAAAAGAAAAGAAAAATGCTCGTAATAAATCAAAATAAACCTCAATAATAGCAACAAAACAAGCAGCCATCGTTGAAAAGACATCACCGGCTTCAAAAGTGGGATAGCCCCATTGAAATGGACGTGGAATCTTTATCCTGCAAGTCGTAAAATCAAAATCCAAAGTTTAACAAAATCTTCAACTCATCTCAAATTAAAAAGAATAAAGTAAATTTACCGCCGCCATATCACGCTACTTTTCTATATTAAACTTGTTTAGACTCAATCTACAGTTGTCGTATATAGATCCAATAAAAAAAATATTTTCAATTTTATTTTTTTTCCATGTGAAAATAAAAAATTTTTTCCATGTGAAAATAAAAAATAGCATTGTTTAAACAATAAATTGTTTTTTATTAATTTAATCGGTAAATAGGTCCGGATATAAACAATTCAATCATAATAGCATATTTAATTGTTAGATATTAACGTTACTTTATTAGAAAGAAGATGCGCCATCTAATAATATAAAGTTGACTAAAGTAATATTGTGTAGAGATGGATGGGGCAAAATGGTGTTAAAAACTTTATTTAGTCAAGATTCGAACTTTGAAGTTGCTAAGGGAAACACAAATTTAAAAAAAAAGAAAAAAAGGAAGAAGGCAATGGCTTCCTTCCTCTAACACATAGCTTTGCCCTTGTAAGCAAATCTAATCCTATTAAAATATATTGTTAATCATAATATTAATTTGATTTTAGAATGCAATTACAATAAAATTTTAGATTTAAGTGTCTTCAGTGCCAAAGTATGGTTAAGCAAAAATAAAAGCAAGTTTGAAGTAGTAGAATTAGAATATAGACAGTCACCAAGGTGCAGCACGAATAAGGCCACCACGATTAGCACGACAATTCAATTGAGTTTGTTGACTTGTATTATCATATGCACCTGCTGCAGTCAAAATTTCTGCAAGGATCCATACTATTATAATACTGTTCGTCGCAGAGTAACGTTCCGCTATCTTTGTCCCTGATTTCCAAAATCTTGAAAGGAACTGCAACAATAAAGTTTTAACTTTCAACAATATCAACCGAAATTTCTTTATAACCTTTGCTTTCTTTTATTAATTATTTGATAGATGTAGAACTTAGTTTTATTTTTAATTAATTTGAAGAATATATTATATAAGATTTTGATAAAAATTCAAATAAATTATAAAATTTAATTTCCATTTTAGCTACTTGTTTCAACGTTGCAATATAAAAATGAAATGATGAAGCATTTCGCTCACCTGCCTTGAGAACACCAACAAAACTAATGCGGGGACTCCAATTTCGATGCATTTCGTCAACTACAACAAAAGATAGAAAGAAGATAGAAAGAAACTGATTGTAGCCATTATGCAGAGGTTTAAGTTTACGATGACTATACTTGTATGTAATTCGCAGGATACAAATATTTCTATAATAATAATTATGGAATTGAAAAATCAAAATTTCTATATTGCCCCACCAACTTTTTCATTTCTATTTTAGTCCTCTAATTTTTAACTTTTTGCTCCGCTCCTATCCAATTTGAAATGTGTTCCTATCCAATTTGAAATGTGTTGAAATCAGAGTCCAATATAATTGTTCATTCAGTCATATATTGGTCTTGTACATTCAGGTAGTAATGTAGATAAGCAAATGAAATACTGTACCAAAACTAATTTTAATTAAATTTCATTTCGCAATGTCTAAAATTTTGAGACCCTTTTTTTTTTCGGTCTTGATAATAAATGATGAGTGGAACAAGTAAATTGATTAATCATGCACAAGAAAATATGTACCGCAAAAACTTAAATTGAATCAGACCAATCAGGTGTAATTCGAGGTGTGATCTGGTTATGGTCTTCTCATAGTAATGGAGAGTGAGAGTTCCTCACAAATGGAGTCATCTCAACACAGACTTTTTCATATTTAAGTAAATCAAGTAATAATATCGTCTCATTAATAGTTCCATCCCATCATTAATTTTTCGGCCCATTAGATTTTTTCTGACGAATAAACATAAAGAAGTGAATCACTTTATATTTGTCTTACCTGTGGAATTCCATCGGTTATAACAGCCCCAAGTCCATTAGAGGTCACAAAAAGGAACTTAAGAGAATAGAGCATTCATCACGCCTAAAACGTACCACCAAAACAAAAGTTCAATTTAAAGCTCCTAAGTTAATTAATTTTAAATAATTTAATCTATAAATTTTTAGCCAGCCTTATTAACTAAATATATTATACCTTACAAAATACTTCGGCAAACCCAAAAATCCAATTATCACCTGAACAAAAGATACAATAATACTTGCTCCTTGTATACGTCTCATTGTTCGTTTAAACCTCTAGTATAGAAAGGAAAAAAAAAAAAATCAAAATTAGTGCAAACACAATATTATTATTATTATTATTATTATTCAAAAAAAAAAAAAAAAAAAAAAAAAAAAAAAAAAACCAAAAAAAAAAAAAAAAAAAAACTAACCTGGCGAGGATTAACTGAGCAACTACATGTATTTTTAGTTGATAAAGCAATATTGATGGCCGGAATTGTAAAAGCTTCGGAAATTTGCATCACGACAGGAAGCCTACTGCCGAACCAAATTTGCAACAGTGTATTTATCCCTGTCATAAAGAGTGCACTCTGTATTGTCTCAGCTTTCTCCAGCTGATTTTTATTTAAAAAAAAAGAAAAGAAAAAAAGAAAGAAAAAAGGAACAATAAGTCAAGGATAAATCGACCAAAAGATAAGATGTCCAAGAAGCCAACACAAATATTTTTTAGGGTTAATTATAAATTTGATATCTCAACTTTTGAAAAATTTCTATTTTAATATATCAACGAGTGTTGCCTGCTTACGTGGCATATCAGAAATATAAATAGAATACGTAGGATCTACTTTATCTATTAAAATGTGATGATTGAGCTTTGACTCAGTCAGCCAAAGGTTCGGCTTTTTTTCTCCTCTTAGGAAGAATATGCTGAAGCCACATATGAATGATAAAAGAAAAGCAAAATGCAAAACTTCTTAGATCAAAAACAATACAAATGAATCTAACTCATGACCTGCAATATAGGAAAAGAAGATAAGAAAACAATGAGTTTCATCACATCCAATAAACATCGCATCTAGTAAACAATAAGGTCCCACCTTAACGCCATGGGCATACCGTAAACTAGTAAGAAAATTTACTAAAATCGTTATTGTACTATAACATCAAACAACCATATATTTCTAGAAGTTAACTACTGTAAACTAGCAAAGGTTTTGGAAGCGTGTACTGCACTATTGTATACTGAGGATAAAGCTCAGCAAGGAGATTAGTCTCAGAGATCATAACACAATGAGGAGGGAAATGATTGCACTAGAAACAAAAGGGGCAGGTCCAAATCTTAGCGGTGAAATAGACACAGCCGAAAGAATTGAGGACGACGGAGCATGTCTTGCAACGAAGAGGAGAGTAAGGAAGCGTAGGAATGTCAGGATGGTGGCGGATCAGAGAGACCGAGGCAGCGAATGAGATAATGCACTTACTGACTTCAACTTTGGTGCACACATTTCATGTCATACGAACTCCCATCGATTCCTTGTGGATCTATGTTGGCCATCTCCAACATAGCTGCTTAATTGTGGTTTTTTTTTTTTTTTTTTTTTTTTTTTTTTTTTTTTTTTTTTTTTTTTTTTTTTTTTTTTTTTTTTTTTTTTTTTTTTTTTTTTTTTTTTTTTTTTTAAGTATAGCAATTCCATGGGTAAAGGGGAAGAGAGGGGTTATTACAAATGGGATGGAGAGAGAGCGCACGAAAGAGAGGAAAATAGTTGTGATTGCCTTCTTTATCATTACTACGTGGCTTCGTTAGTCAAAACTGAATCATCAAATTTTAATAGATAAAGTGAGGTTGTATTTTCCGTATGCTCCAAAAGCAGACAAATTGAAAAATTATAATGAATTCAAGTACTTAACTGTAAACGTTTTCCGTTAAGATGCTATAATAGAAATTTTTAAAAGTTGAGACACTAAACTTATAATTGATGCTATTATATATATATATATATATATTGGAAAAATAAATTAATATTTGATAATTTTTCTCGAATTCAGCTTTGGATTCATTAGTATAATAGTTCAAGAGAATTCTCATTAATTTTAGTAATATATAATTATGCTAAACTGACCATTGAATTAGAGAAATTCAAAATTTGAAGTGATAATCTTACATCGCCACCGCCCATAATAGGGGCAAGCAAGATGGGAATAGCAAGATGGGAATGATCATCGTGGTCCAAGTAATAACTTGGCTGCCCTGAAATCCCATGAGATAAAGAGTTGGCTTACCTACATTGAAATGGAGACAACAAGTTTTGTCAGTTTTACATTTCAATTTAAGCAATACTTTTCTCTAATTTTTATATATGATACTACCTGATCTTAAATTAATTATTCATTTATGATAATCAACAAAATAAATTTTAGTTTTCCTCTTTTAAGTCAACCTATCCAAATTAATTAAAAAACTAATTGTCATTTATACTTTTTGTTAAAATTATTTTCAAACAGAAAAACTTAATTTCATCTTATTAAAAAAAAAATATAAACGGTTGTTTTAGTTTGTTAAAAGATGAATAAAAATTATGAAAGTAAAATTTTATATTTGTAAAATTCTATTTTGATTTATATGAATATTTATAATACTTAATAATATTGTTATTATTTTGGTAACTATTTTTAATTATAAAAATTGACTATTTTGATTTATATGAATATTTATAATACTTAATAATATTGTTATTATTTTGGTAACTAAATGGATAATTTTTAATTATAAAAATTAAAATTCAAATAATTAAGATATAATCAATATGTGTTAATAATAATTATACAGGGTCCACATGTCTAAGTCTAACTAGTAATAAATACAAAATAAAATAAACAAGCAAATGTGAATAGATAAATATTTTTCATAAAATAAACAATAGTATAGAAGTCGAAAGAGAATAAAAAAGCAATAAAATTACAGAAAAAAAAGCAGAGAAATTATTCATTTTGATAGAAAATTAGAGAAAATTATTTACTCCACGGCATTTTTTTGGCGTCTGGGTTGATGGGGTACTTGACTCCACTGAGCTTCATCTCCCGCCTAGACATTTCTCTCAATCCGAAAAATTCATCTTTATCTTTCTTCTGCTGTCTTTTTTGTGTGAAAGTTTCCATGCGTTTCTTGGAGGATGCTGGCGGCAATGGTGGTGTTGGTGATGGCGGTGATGGTGGCGGCGACGGCGACGGCGGTTTATGTGGGCAGGTAGAAGAGCAAGGAATACTACAGCAGCCAATGGTTGTAAGCCCATTACATTGACAATTAGAAGGAAAGCATGGTGGGATAAAATGGGAAGAAGAAGAGGCGGCAAAATAGTAAAGTGGCTGTGGTATTTGCTGGCATTGCCAACAAGGGTAGTTTGATATGCACATATCATTCCCTTCCATTGCTGTTTCGTTTCTTTCTTTCTCTGCTTGTCATGTACAATAACTGGAAGTTTATATAATGGACCAGAGGCAGGGTTAATATATGGGAACAATTCATTGAAAACGTTCCGTCGTTTGGTCAACTAAAAAATTTAAAGAAAAAAGATTGGAGGGTTAATATATGTTTGTCAGGATTGTTGCTTGATCGGAGAGAATCATTATTGTTAATTGCACAATAACATACATCTTCAAGCTGCTTGACTATCGAGGGAGACACTATTGTTTGCTACTTGCTAGATTATTTTAGATAAATATGATATTTAAGTTGACAAGTTTGTTAGCATAATTTTTTTATTATACTCATCTTAGATAGCACATGAATAATTATTATATCGAAATAATAAAAATCCAAGAGGGTGACTAATATTAATGACTTTTTAAAATTCAAGAGAAAAAAATAGAAAATTAAAATTACTTATCAAATAACATATGAATTTGAAGTAAGATTTACTTGCGAAAGGTAATGAATCAACGGGGATAATTTAAAATAAGGTAAAATTTAATAATAGTATAATAGATAATTTAAATAGTAATTATAATATTAAAAAAATGAATTATATTTTGAAACATATCAAAATAGAAAGATAAATTATTTTTTCAGACCGACAAAAGATATACTTTTACAAATACACTTTCAGCCAAAGAAGTTAGCCAGTACGCATAAAAATTTATAAAAACTTCATGATGAATCTATAGAAACAAGACTTCAATAAATTTTTGTTCATTAAATATACCAATTCATTAATGTATACCTAACTTCCAATTAATGTCATCATTTAATTATATCATCCATCTTAAAGTTTCCCACCTACCTTCCTTTATTAGTTTAATGCTTATTTTCTCAACCATTTTTTAATTACTATTTCTTCGTTTGGCATCCTCTGCTGCTTGTGTGAAATATCTATTCTTTCTTGGATTTATTATTTATCTTTTAGCCCTAATTTTGCATGCAATTAATTCATTACATGACATTCTACTGTAACTTCTTTATGTGGGAAAAAAAAATTTTAATCTTTCACATTATTTATTTATTTATTACTTCCTAAATTCTAATGATATACTTTAATTCAAAATTTATTTGTATAATCATGCAATTCATTCAAGTTAGATATAACTTGCTTTTAACCGATTCATCTATTGTGCCCCACTAGTGACATTATATCTATAAGGAAAAAACAATTAACACACGAGAAATATGAAAAAAGAATTTAAATAAATTTATAATTTATAATTATAAATTAAAAAAATTAAAGTTAAAAAAGCATGTCAACTTGTAATGGGGGTGTGGTGTGTGTTAATAGGACTTGTAAGCCATCAAAGGCATTGTGATGAATTAATTGAAGAGTATGTGAGCACTTTTGATAGATTTGAATGATGAAATATATAAAACTCAGTCCTTTAATTTAATGAATTGAAAAGAGCATTTACCTAAACTTTTATATATATATATATATATATATAATATATATATATATTATATTATATATATATATATATATATATTATATAATTTATATTCATTACTGCTATTTTGTTTTTTAGAGCTATAAATTGGACAATGAAAGATCAATTCATCTGTATACCTAACCTACATTAAATGCGAATTATGTTTGTCTTTAAGGTTGCTTACCTAATAGCAATATTTAACGTGAAATAGAAACTTCATAATTATTAATTTTTCCAATTCTTTTCTTATTTTCCCTCTTTAATTTTATTAGAGCAATTGGTGTGACATTGAAACCAACAATTAAAAATATGAGCACAAAATTTTTTGTTCTTCGTATAGTAAAAAAGCTACTTATTAAATAAAAAAATTGTTTTTTATTCTTCGTATATTAGGTAAATTGGTATAGTAAAAAAAAAAAAAAAAAAGCTAACCAACAATCACATATTTATGTTGATTAAATAACAATGAAATTTTTTTTTGATTAAATAAAGGGAAGCAAAGTTTCAAAAAAAAAAACATACTGAGGCGTTGGTAAGCCATGTTGTGGTAGTGCCCACTCAAGTGAGGTCCACACAGTGGATTTTAAATGAGACCGTTTGTGACTCCTCTACTTATCTGAGAATTTATTTGGTGTAGTTACTCAGCACAGTAATTTACAAATTATTTTTGGTGGAAAAAGCCCAATTTCCACAACACTTTCCTTCTTTTTAACTCTGAACAACTCTCTTGCCACATAAGACAGTAGTAATGTTGTCAATTTAATTATTACATTTCATTTGGGCAAAATGTCTATCAAACTAAACTAATGCGAAATACGGTACGGAACTTGTATAAGGTTTCTTAAGCCACAGATAACTGACGGCTATGCTTGTGATTAAATGTTATAGATTCAAATATATGTACACAAGGATCTGAAAAATATTAGTAGTAAGGGACTTTCTGCTCACTGCAACAAGAAATATTATTATGGTTGCATGAACTCGAACAGGACACGACACGTATTGGTCCCCTGAGTTACTCCCTCCTATCATCATTAATTATTCAACCATAATTATAACAAGATAATTCTCCACGTGATTAAAAAAAAAAAGTTATATGTTGGGATGTTTTTTTTGACATGTATTATAATAAAGGTGCTTCCAGGTGTGTTAGTCCCTCTCCCGTCAGCTCGGGTCACTAGTCAGATGTTAAAGTTTCGATTTTAGACACTCCTATAAGTGCACCGACTCCCAAGCATTGATGGGAGATACTGCCCCTTTCATATAAAAATGCTTCATGCAATATTCCAGTTAACTTAATTAATTTGTTTTTCTTATATAAAAATAAATGGAAAATTAGCTTGCATGCAGTATATAAATTCATCTCCGAACTTTGTAATTTTAATTTTATAGAATTCTGAATTTTATAAATGACCTATTATGCACTTAAATTTGTAAATTTTAATAATGTTATAGAGCTTCCAACACTAATAATAATAGTTGTTATAATTTTTAGTTTTATATTTAAACTGTGACGATATTCAATTAAATTTCTTACCACAATTTCACAAGGTTTGCTTGAAACAATAAAAGAAAAATTATTTTTAAAATTTTCTTTTTTTAGTTTGTATTTTGTATTTTACATGTGTTTTCATGTTCTGGAAGCAATATTGAAATTCTCTAGTGTTGAGATTACTATAATCAACAAAATCTCAATTATTATTTCGATTTATTTTGAAGATGATATTATTCAAATTTTTAATTTTAAATTATGTAAAAAAAAAAGCTTAAAATGTTAGCTACCGGCTTGCACATTTAAATATGCTGTTCCTGAAAAAGACGCAACAATGTAATGGGCCAATCTAAGAGATCTGGCGGGCTAGTCTAATGGGCTCAATTATCTCATTTCTCTTCCTAATAAAATCAAGTAAATTAGAATCACGAAAACAGATCTTTGAGACTAGAAGGCCGTTTATAGGTTTTTTTAATCTCAAGTCGGATTTGTTTCATCATCTCCTCCGTCTCATCTTCTGCCTTCATCTCCTTCTCGGGTGGTGGTACATGTGGTAAATGTGGTAATGGTTGAGACTTCTTGGGTGATTTCTGCTCTTCCTGCTTGGGTATTTCCATTGTCAGCACCTTCCTCTGGGGTGGTGGTGGTGGTGGTTTAGGCGTGAAATAGAAAAGGAAAGCTATTATAGTGCCAACTGTTGGTGGAGATGACAAAATAACCACCATTATGATTTTGAACTGAAATCAAAGACAAATGAGAACCAATCATTAATGTTTGAAAACATAAAATTATACAGCTCAATTCTAAGTATCGTTTTAATAAATATATCACAATGTAACTATATTGAAAAACAAGGAGCTAAATTGACAAAAAAAAAAAAAAATATTAAGTCTAATATTTTTTATCATTTTAAATAAATTTAGCCATCAAATTGATCTTTATTTCTATATAAAGGGTAAAAATAGGAAAAAGTTTATTCATTACTTCTTAATATTCAAAAAACGATTTATATTTATAGACGAGAAAAATTACTATAAATATTTTTCTCTCTATTTCTTTTTACAAGGAAAAAAAAAATGAATCTTCCTTCTCACTTTTGTTGGAGACCATAATAAATTATGCTAATAAGTTGAAGAATAATGTAATAAGTGAAATTGATCATGATTTTTTTATTGGTCCAATAAAAAAAAAAAAAAAAAAAAAAGAAAATGCAATATTATAACAAATAGAAATTTACCCAATTAGAGCTGGTTTGAGGAAGGCCATCAGTAGAAAATAAATCATAGTTACTGAAATACTGAGGCACAGAGAGACCCATAAAGAGGGAAAAACCCAAAATAGATTTTGACCTTAAGCTTTTCAAGTCGCATAATATGAAATCATCAAGACCTCCTGCCACTGTCATCTCCATAATATGTACAGTACAAATCAGAAGTCAATTGAAATGTAATATACAAAAACAATACTTTGCTATTACAATAATAATAATCATAGAAAACAGATTGGCAAAAGTGAAAAAAAAGGATTCGTACCCACATAGGGGAAGAAAGCTATGTATAGAGCCCCCACAATTGGCAACGGTATAGAAGCAAGAATAACCGCAAGTTTTCCTGTTAGATATGTAATATTTACTAATAGTTATTACATTTTCCTTTGACAAAAAAAAAAAAATGCAGATATTAGATCAAAAACCTTAATATCATAATAAAAATTGTATTAAACTGAATTATGCATATATATTTATATTATTTTATTATATAAAAATAATTTATAAAAATAATTTTTAAAATATTATAAGAATGCACAGTGCACCTATTAAGGAAATGAGAATCATAAAGATAGCTGAGAGTATGGCAATCCTCCGAGTTCCTATCTTTGTCGATCCTACGAGTCCTGCATGTTGACTGTAGCCACAACCAACCATGCTTAATTAATAATTATCTCACAACATTAGTATAAGAAATTGATAAAATTAATTTATTTGCTGATAAAAAAAATAGTAGTATAAGAAAAATTGCAAGGACTCTGATGGAGCATTGTTGAATTCAAACTAAGCTCGTTAAAAGTATACTCAAGTTCAAGCATTCGAGTAGAGTCGAACTCGATTTAAACTTTAAAAACTGAGTGCAACTTGTTTACAGTTTATAATAACATTATTTTTAAAATGGATATGATTATAAGAACGTTCCATTGCGAATCACTAAAAATATCCTTAACTTAAAATGACACTCACGAACTTAATCTTATGGTAAATGCATTTCAAATTAATATAAACTCAAATTCAAATCTATTGTAGTTGCGAATCACTAAAAATATCCTTAACTTAAAATGACACTCACGAACTTAATCTTATGGTAAATGCATTTCAAATTAATATAAACTCAAATTCAAATCTATTGTAGTTTCAAAGTATCGAAATTACATTGAAGCACTGGAGCCAAGTCCCAAGCCAAACACTGCGTCCAGCAAAGTTCCAATTCCCTGCATATGTACATCCTTTATAAGTTAAAACAAGTGAAAAAACATATTATGGAATGTGAAAAAACATAAAGCTCTGTTTGGGGTAAATAATATAAAATACATTTGAATTAAGCTTCATAACTTATATTTGAAATAAATTTAGAGTTGGAATCCAATATGTTGTAATTGTATAGAATGTCCAAAGAGAAAAATAGACAGAGAGAAGAGAAAGATGATGAGAGAGATAGAGAGAAGAAAAGGAAGATATTGGAAAAAAAATACAAAAAAAAAGAGGAAAGAAGAGAGAGAAAAAAATGAAGTTATAGAAGTAACTCATGAGTGACTTAAGTGGTAAGACACTTAAATTTAACAGATGATCTTTATAAAATCAAAGGTTTAATTCATTCATAGAAAAAACATGCATGAGAAGGATAACCACGATTCTTGAGATAGATTAGTTTTATAATATTGGGGTATTTGTGGTAAAACTAAAAAAAGTGGAAGATAGAGAAAAATAAAAGGGAAGAAGAGGAAAAAGAAAAAGAGGAAGTATTGGGCATGGTTGGTGACTTGGGTGTAGTTCTTGTTTCTTATTTTTTTTCCTCCACAATAATATTAATAAAATAATTAAATTTGCTGATAAAAAAAAATTATGAGTAGCACAAGTGGTAAGACACTTGAATTCAAGTATTTAATTTGTCGAAAAAACCCGTATAAGAAGAGACAGCTACAAAGTTTAAAATTGAGATTAATCTCACACCTAAAAGGTGCTGCAATAATCATAATTAAACCGAACAAGAGAAAACGGTAAAAGGCAAGAGAGTGAAAAATAATTGAATCCGTGAAATTCTAAATTTTTCATAGAAATTTTGTTATGTTTAACTCTAAAAGATTAAATTGAATATTTTCCAATATGTGAAACTTTGAAAATTGAGAGATTTTAATTGAATTTAATCAAATTTAATGGAATTTGTTTATAACTTAACTGTAAGTAAATAATGAAAATTGATAGGGTATTTAAATGTTAATTACCTGCACGCCGATTGCTGTACTAATATCACGTGCTGTTATACGCTGTCCGCCGCTAAATCTTGACGAGGTAGCAAACGTACTAGAGGACTGAAATCATAGACAAATTTTAGACCCTGCATATGATCTTCGCCCAATATTTTCTTAAATTGACCAATCAAAATATATTTGCTTAACTTTACTGTAACTTGTTTAAACATAGACATCGTTTGAATTGATGGAGTTTGAATGATAGAATATATTCCATAAGTTTATATGATTTCTTCGTTAATTGAGAAAAAATAGATTAAAATCCATGAATTGATAGATTTTATGATGGATTCAATTCCATCATTTAGAAGAGAGAGAAATCCTATCGAAGAGGTGAAGTTTTTTCAATTCTATTATTTTTTTTATTAATAATATAATTTAACTCATTTAATTATATTTCAAAAGCATCTTTCAAATCCATAAAATCATTGTGGATTTAGATATATTTTTGCAATCCACTAAAATCACTTGTGGAGTTTAGAGTATATTTCTTGCCCACCCGCAGACATAATAATTTATTTTGAAAAATAAGAAGTGTAAAAAACATAAAATTTAGTGCCATTAATTGTCATTAGAATCATTGTGGATTTAGATATATTTTTGCCAAGATGAATACATAATTTTTGAAAAAATAAGAAGGGTAAAAAACATAAAATTTTAGTGATTAATGTCTTAGTCCCAAACTAGTTGAGATCGACTATATGAATCCTTTATTTCAAATATCTGCTCTGACTAGGTCAATATCCGTGCAAAGCAAAGTATAAGTCAAAAGAAAAAAAAAAAACCTTTTGTAATTAAAAAATTTGAAAGAGGAGTTTTCAAATCATTTGATATATTAATAAACAAACAAGCTTAAGGCATGTTACATAAATCTTCAATAATATTCAAAATTTCTTAGCGACAACTTTCCTCTAAGTAGTTTTAGGTCAGCCTCTTCCCTTTTTATCACCCTCCAGTATTATCGAGGTCTACATAATACATGACCACACCATCTTAGATACTCTCTCATTTTTTCTCCAAATTTTGCTACTTGCATCTTTTGTCTAATGTGACTATTTATAATCTTGTCGAACCTTGTGTGACTGCATATCCATTTCAATATTCGCATCTCTGCAATATGCATCTTGTGAACATATTGCCTGTTAGGTGCCTAGTATTCACTCACCATATCACATTGCTGGTCTCACTACTATTCTATAGAATTTAATTTTTACCTTGTTAGATATTTTCCTAATCACATAGTATACTTGTAGTTGATGTATGCATTTAATGTATACATAATTATACCTTTAAACGTTTAGTTTAATACAATTCTAGGGATTTTTAATGATTTAATGATAGTTTTTCCATGCATTGTACATATTTTGCATTTGGTTTGTCTTATAGTGCAGGTCCATTCTTTTGAGGGAGAAACACCTTAAAGCTAATGACATTTCAGCCATTTCGGACCAATCCACAAAAGGAAGGTCTGGCGGCGATATCCACGATCGACACACTAGACGTGCTTTATTCATCTGATAGTCAGATGCATTCTAGTAAAATCCATGGTCGGTCAACCTGTCGTGTATTCTCTACCAACAAGTCAGAAGACTCAATGCAAAATACACGCCCAACCATACAGCCGTAGAAATTTAGATACGGAAGGGGCATCGATCGTATGTTTCACCCCTTTCTACTTGTCCCCCCATATGACGGGTCGTGTATTTACTAAGCCCAGAGCCTGCATATAAAGCACAGCCGAAGCACTAACTGTACATTTCCTCCATGTGGCAAATAAAAGGGAGAGAATTGGTCAAGGATCTTTTTGAAATGCCTTTGTAACCTTTGCCTGCGTTATAAGAGGAAGGAGAGGAGATACAGAGATCATCAAGAAGGCTAGGGAACATCTCAGATTAAGAGAAACACGTAATTGGATTCGATTAAAGGATATACTCCATAGTTAGAATAGAAATAATATTTCGATTTTAGTTTTCTATTGTGGACAAGGATGCTTCTAGAGCCACCATTTCTTCTTAATCTTGTGATTTATAATTTGAGAATGATTTATGAGTAGTCCCCTTAGCTAGTGTTGGGTGAAAACCCATTTGTGCAGCAACTATGTAATCATCTCTCCTTATTTTAATCTTAATGGATGTTTTTCATGACTCGTCTGTGTGTGAGCTTAAAGCTTATGAATATGATGGAGTTCCATATATTTGTATAAAAAGAAATGAGAGGATGAAGAACTAAAAGGTGAAGTCCCTTATTGGACTGACTCACACATGAACCTAGGAGATAGATGTAGGAATAAGCTATTTTGTTGAAGAACTAGGGAAGGTCATAGAGATTAATGGGTTGGAATCATCATTACACCATGAAAGTTAGATGTTCTTATGATTCTAGAACATTTGTGTTACTTGGAAGAAAGCATAAATAGAGGAGTACAGCGGATTTTGGTGAAGACAACTAGGGAAGGTCATAAGACGATTATGGGTCTGGAATCATCTCATACCACATTGAAAGTTAGCAATGTTCTCTTATGAATTCTAGAACATTTCGTGTTACTTTGCGATAGGGAAAGCCTTAAATTATAAATGGATTCCCCCCCCCCCTCCTCAAGGATGTAATCCTCTTAATAGATGGAAACTGGAAGCTGAGATTTATAATGTTGTTCAATGGTGTTATCCCCAATACTAGTGTCTTCCCTTTTTTGAGTAAAACTAAAGCTAGCTTGCTTTTTATTCTAATTAGTAGTTCTGCTTGTTTTACATTTATTAGCTTAGATTCTAAATCTATTATAATGTTGTTCAATGGTGTTGATCCCAATACTAGTGTCTTTCCCTTTTTGATAAAACTAAAGCTAGCTT